TTACTGGAGCAGTGGTAGTTATCAGAGCCAGATGATGGTCTTAGGCACCTTTTGCAACTAGCACTCAATATGCACAAACAATTTTCTTTGTGTGACATTGACAAGAGATTGATTTCCACTTCATTTGAATTTTTTCCTAAAATTTCCCTAAGCTTGCTTAGTTGCTACCTCTGCCTGAAAGACTCAAAGTCCTAGTGGCTTACAGCTTCCTTCCTGGTTATGAGTTACTCTGCTGCAAGTATAGAACAGAATAATTGCAGCAAAATTGCTTGTTGTCAATCAATAATATTAAAAACAAATATATAACTTGAAAAAAATTAATGGAGGAACCTGAAGTAATAAAACATTTGAGGAAATTGTGATTTGGGAATGACAGAAAAGAGGACTCAGTTCATTTAGTAAATTATTCACTTGGCTGTAATATTCAGTTATGTGAAAGGAAGGGGAGAAGGAATGTTGCAGCCGGAAAAGAGATCAAATGTGGTTGTTTAAATGTTTGATGTTCAGTAATGAAAACTGTTTACCTTCATAATTGTGTATTAGCAGCTAATAAAGGCACTAGATACAGTAGTTTAAAAGTAATAAAATCCACAACAAAGTGTATTTAATTTTAAATTGAATTGCTAGCAAATGGGTGTCCTAATGAACCCCTGTGTCAATGTAGTTCTAACCAAATTAAGTGAAATAATTTCCATCATGAACGACTAAATAACTACAAAGTTCCAAACAGACAACTTTTCTCCCCAAAGAAGGACCTTCTCAGATGCTTTGGTTGCTGGAATTAGCTAGTGAAATTCAAGATCCCCATTGCCTTCGTCCCATTTTGGGAAATTAGGCTAAGGTTGACCTGTCAGCCACTTAAAGGATAAAATCCCGAAGTCTATTCTTAGGGCTGGATTCTGTAATCCTCATATTGTGTCGTATTATTTGTGCTGTCCTATTCCCATCAACTTCAATGGAACCTCTTATTTGGGAAAGTACTTCTCAACCTCAGGGTTGCAGGATTAATCCTTACTCAGGCAGACCTCCCACTGAAGCCATTGGACGTAGGCCAGCCCAATTTCCCATTTTTGTGCCAATTGAAGCACGTGCCCTACATTTACAGGAACAAGTTCTATTGGTATAAGCACTTAATGTGCCCAAGCTAGGGCTTGTACAGTTGTAACAAGGTGGGTTTCCAACCAATACAAAATTGTGTAAAGAAAGAGGCCTAAATAGAAACTGAATTACAGTGCCTTGCATGGAATTTAGAAGGAAGAGTAGATGCTGCAGGTAGTAAAAGGAGGCAACAACAGATACTTGGTCTGTGTGCATATGACTAGAGTGCTAGCAGTTGCATCATCTCTAACAATAGACATTTTAATAAATTGAGAGTGTAGTTTTATAAATATGTTGCACCCTGACCATTGCATTAAAATAGCATTGCGGCAGGACCTCTGAGTTATGAGCACTTTGTGAATGGAGGTTGTTTGTAACTCTGAAATGTTTGTAATTATGAACACAAAGTTAGGGTTGTTCTTTCAGAAGTTTACAGCTGAACATTGACTTAGTGCAGCTTTGAAACTTTATTATGTAGACAAAAATCTTAAACAAGCACAGAAACAGTTTACTGTCCTTGTTAAAGCTTTTTTAAATATTTCTCTTTATTTTAGTAGTTTACATTTAACACAGCACTGTACTGCATTTGGTTTTTTTGTGGGAAGGAAAGCTTTGCTGTTTTGCATACTTCCATTTCTAATAGAGGTGGGGATTGGCTAGTTAATACGTTACTGAGGTATTCATGACTCTGAGGTTCTACTGTATGTTGGATAAAAATGTAAAAAAAAAGAGAGTAATCCAGTAGCATTTCAGAGACTAACAAAAAAACCACAGACTTAAAAAAAAATATGTGCCCACAAAAGCTTATGATACTATATATGTTGTTAGTCTCTAAGGTTGTGTCTAGACTGCAGGGTTTTTTTGAAAAAAGTAGCCTTTTTTCAAAAAAACTTCACCTGTATCTAGACTACATCTGTGTTCTTTCGAAATCAAATCGAAAGAACGCGGCTTTTCTTTCAATGGCGGTACTCCTCATTTCACGAGGAATAACGCCTTTTTTCAGAAGTGCTCTTTTGAAAAAAGGCTCTATGTAATGCAAACTGTGCTTTTTTGAAAGAGAGTATTCAGACTGCCTGGGTGCTCTCTTTCAAAAAAAGAGGTTTGCTTTTTCGAAAGTATCTTTTGAAAAAGCCTCTTTAGAAAGAGGCTTGAAGTCTAGACATAGCCAGAGTGTCTTCCTGAAAACTCCTTCCTCTTACACAGCAAGGTGGTGTCAGCTATGGATTTTAAGGGTGTGTTTACACAGTAGGGCTTAACTTGAAATAAGCTACGCAAATCGAGCTATGTCAATTGTGTAGCTTATTTCGAAACAGCTTATTTCGAAATTGGGCAAGTCTACACAGCACTTATTTCTAAAGAGAGCACTCTTCCTCTGACTTCCCTTACTCCTCGTACAATGAGAGTTACAGGAGTCGGAGTAAGAAGTCTCCAGCTTGACAGTATTTTGACATTATTTTGAAATAACTGCCTGCTGTGTAGATGTCGACTAAGTTATTTCCAAATAATGCTAGTTATTTTGAAATAATGTTGCTGTGTAGACGTACCCTAAGGTGTTACAGGACTACTCATTTTTTAAAATTTACAGTCTATCACAGCTACCCCTCCGAGACTTTTAAACATGTATGTTGGATAGGTGATTCAGCCATCTGAATGAATTAGAATAAATTCTGAGGTTTGTACTTAGGATCAAATGCAGTCTGAGCCTTATGCTACTACCTGGGAAGGGAAAGGGACTAACAAGCCCCCCACAACTGTGTAGCCCACATAAGGGCTGGGCAGAATTTTATACCCAGAATGACAGAGATCACTCCCTCATTACTTTGTTCTGACTCTACCGTCATGCATTGGCTGGCTACCTGTGTGAGGAAGAATAGTACCTGGGGGTATGTCTACACTACCCTCCTAGTTCGAACTAGGAGGGTAGTGTAGACATACCCCCAGGTACTATTCTTCCTCACACAGGTAGCCAGCCAATGCATGACGGTAGAGTCAGAACAAAGTAATGAGGGAGTGATCTCTGTCATTCTGGGTATAAAATTCTGCCCAGCCCTTATGTGGGCTACACAGTTGTGGGGGGCTTGTTAGTCCCTTTCCCTTCCCAGGTAGTAGCATAAGGCTCAGACTGCATTTGATCCTAAGTACAAACCTCAGAATTTATTCTAATTCATTCAGATGGCTGAATCACCTATCCAACATACATGTTTAAAAGTCTCGGAGGGGTAGCTGTGATAGACTGTAAATTTTAAAAAATGAGTAGTCCTGTAACACCTTAGGGTACGTCTACACAGCAACATTATTTCAAAATAACTAGCATTATTTGGAAATAACTTAGTAGCGTATTAGTGTGTGCATGTCTCCTGTGTGTTGATGTGCTTCAGGATGCCTTCTGTCTCTCTGAAATAAAATGCCTCAAGCTCCCTTTGGGGTGCATTTGCTTTGCACTACCACAAAACAGGCCTGTTCTTAAAATAAATATATATATTTACCCCCCACACAAGATAAATTGTAAGCACAAAATGCCAAACTCTCAGAGGGTGTAAATCAGCATGTCTCCATTGATTTCTGTATGGCTATTACAATTTATTACAGGATCTAGCCTTTAAAATGTTAGTAGAGATATCATTATTCTATTTTATTTTTGGTATTTTGTTATTGGTAATGCAGAACTTAAGCTTTGGTTCAAGTCTGGTTACTGTCAGATCTGTAATTTTTGCTCATATTTTGGGAGTGAAACTCCAGATGCTTCTATGTGAAACTGTGATGCAGCCTTACATATAGTAGTTGTGCTATTAAAAATGTGAATACATTTTTCTGCCACCAGTTTTCAAAGCCTAGCCATTGTTATGCATAAAACAATTCCCTTTTTTGTTTATTATTTATTTTGCTCCCCAGCAAGGCTTGTAATATACTTGAGGAAAACACCAAATTGCGATGTACTTCCAAAGGCAAACCCTTTCCACTTAAGTATTGTAGTTGTTTTCTTTTTTCACCCCCCTTCCCACTTTGTATCTTATACAGAATAGAAAGTCAGTCCTTGAAAGTAGTACAGAATGCCTGCAAACAGGAAATTATAACCAAATTTGGTAACCTCGCAGAAGTGAATAATGAATCAAATGGAGCAGCAAGACTTTGCTGGAAGGTGAGGTTCTCCATGAGTTCTCTTTTTCCTAATGTAAATTGCTAAATGACAGTATATTGAGTCTCTTGCATGAATTTTTGTTATAAATGTGGAGGATAGGATTTAGCAGGTTTAAAAATATGCTTTCCAGCAGAAGTAACCATACGCTTAAATAGGATGTCTAAAGCTATTAACTATGAATCATTTGGGCATAGCTAGAGTTCTTCAAAACAGTTTGTCAGCACTGGCCAAGTAAAGTCTTTCAGTAGGAGATGAGGCAGCTATGCCACCATGCAAATGAGACAGGCCTGAGATGTGATGGATCTTCTATCTCCTTTTCCTACTCGACTGACACTCGCTTTGAGGGAGGTTGTAAATGCAAGAGAGATTGTGGTATAATTCCTCAGACTGGCATTTGTGCCCCCCAGTCACTATTCGATTATCTTCCAAATTGCTGTGTTTCAGAGAGATAAAGATTTTTTATGGCTTGCTGACTTGAAACAACCAGAAGAGCCAGAAAAGAGATGGCTAACCGGCCATGCATAGTAATTCCATTGGTAAATGACAAAATCTTTGTTTGTATGACATTTTCAAAATTACAGCAGAAGATGAATCTAAAATACAAAATGTCACATTTGGCATGCAAAACTATCAAAATATATTTCAGTATAAAATTCATAGAGGCGTTTAATTTAGAATGTGTTTAATAACTAAGCCTGCCTGCATCAGTAATCCTGCCTTGAGGTTTAAAAAAGATTGTCTTATTTATTCACATGATGTTAATTTTTTTATATATATTATTCAGAAACCAAAAATATTAAGGTTAAATCTTCATTGTTAATTAAGATTTTCTAATTAAACTGCAAATAATTGTCATTCAGATTAGTTGTTAAGTATGGTTTGTATTGAAAACACAAAAGAAGTTTAACAACTTCAACTGTTTATTTAACTGCTTAATTTAATTCCAGAAGCATTCTATCTATATGGAAATATGTTATCACTTTCAAAATAAATCCAAAGCAGGATTAAAGGGATTATTAGGTACTATAGGTTTGGACTCGGAGACTGCTAGACTTAATAGTCAAGTTAGCCATTTGATCATAAAATATGTCATGAATCATGGTTTTATATTAAATTAAATGAACAAAAGAGTCCTTTAATAAAATTTTCCCATAAAATGGATTCTCTGAAAAATACCTAAGTTTATTTGGAATAACACGTTTCAATGATTACAGAAATGGTGTGTCATTGTCCTAAAACAAAATTAAGGCCCTTGACCTTTATGCAAAATTAAATATTTGATGGCATAGTGCAAGGGATATTCTTAGATGGTTCTGAATCTGTATTCTTACTCAAGTCAAACATCTAAGGATCTTACCAATATCAATTTTATAATGCCAACTTCTGCTATTTATGCTGAGCATTGAGAATAACTTTTGAAAGAGTTTTTCAAAAATATAGTGAAACATTACTCCATACTAAATATTCTGCAATGTAGACAACATCTTGTCAACAGCAAACAGCAGATGTTTCCTTTTGTCTGGACCTGGAATAAAGGTGCCCGTGGGAAGTGATTATTAAACTTCACACATGTTGCACTTAGAATAATAATCAAAGAGTATATTATAAGAAGATGAAATGATAGTCCAGGTGTTATACAGCACTGATAGCCTTGGTAAGACTTATAATGAATATAAAAACATTGGTTGCCATGTTTCTCACTGTGTGCCTGCAGCCTGATCATCATGTCACCTATCATAGTTGTCTTAAAAGGCATGCTGTATTTTTAGAGGTGTTGATTTCTTGTGAATTCTACCTTATTATTGCAGACTAACAGTTTCTAGTGTCACACTTCATTAACACACCATGCTTTAAAAAACCTGCTGACTTTAAAAAAATATTTCCATGCAATCCACATGTTTGCCTTTTGACACCTTAATTACATATTGCTTGTCTTCCTTTATTGTCATTGCTAATGACAGATAATTACAGGTCAAGTAAAAAGAACTGTCTACTTTTTGGTGGTCATTTTTGGAGGAATTCATTCTCAAAACAGTCAAACTCTGCTTCCTACCTAATTCAATAACATAGTCTTTTTCTTAGGTTGCCCAGTCCAAAACAACTCAGCCCCTTCAGATCCAACTAAGATGCCTAAGAGGTGCCAAAGACAAAATTCCCAAGGGCAGCTACATCATCAAGATCTCTTTGCTCAGTCGTCTAGGGGGTAGTTTACTTAAGTGGTCCGAACTGGAGGAACAACAGTGGGCTGGAACAACATTGCCAGTCAGCCATGATGGAAACTTCTATGATGTGGACATTTGTTTTGACCAAAGTGTTCATACAGTAAGCAGCACTTCTTATATATGCTTTCTTTGCTTTGATAGGTAAAACACCTCTATTCTTTTTCCCTCAGGCTTATATACTTAATACATGCAGCGATGTTCATAATTTATTTAATATTTTAAGGTGCAATCTCCCCCAGGTAACATGCATCACTCACTCTAAAAGTGCCAAATATATAATATACTATATCATGTAACACTGTCAGCTAATTTTAGATTTTACTTTTATTCTTTCTTATCTATGCAGCTTGTCAGCTATGTAATTTGATTTGGGTAAAATAGCTTTAGAATAATAAATGAATGAGTGGGTGTATATAAACACATGAATGCTCAAATCCTTCTGTGAGTTTTTAGCTTCATTGACCCCCATTTGCCAAAAAAGCAGCATTTGGATTATTTTGGAATAAGACCAAACACTTGAGGCTCTATTCTGTCTTTTGTGACTAAGGCACACATATTTTCTTTCCTAAGCATGCTGTGCGTGGCAGGATTGCTGTGTGTCAGTTGCTCAGCTTTGTGTCTAATGTCTAAAACGGGTTGAATCATTGGCTGCAAATAAATTATCTGACAAACATAGGCAGTTATACTGTTTGGGAATTGATGCTGATTTTAGCAAATGTGTTCATTGTTCTGAACTGTTCTGGGAATAATAATAGCATTACTACTTCTTTTTTATATGCATTGTGGTAGTACCGAGGGTCCCTAGCCATGGGCTCAGATTCCATTGTGCTAGCACTATACAAAAACAGAACAAAAAATGGTCCTACTCCAAGGAGCTAACAATTAAGTAGTATTTATGTTCAGTTTTTAAGCTATACATGGTTTTGAATGGTCCACTTAAACTGCTGGCTATTTAAGGTCTGAGATTGGTCACTACGGCTATGTCTACACAGAAACGTTATTTCGGAGGAACATCAGTTATTCTGAAATAACGTAGTGTGTGTCTACACATCAAGCCTGTTATTTTTAAATAAATTTGAAATAACAGGCTTCCTACTCCAACTTCAATAAACCTCATTGTGGCTACGTCTAGATTGAACTCTAAAATCAAAATAAGATACGCAATGCAAATTGCGTATCTTCTTTAGATTTTATTTTGAAATAGGCTATTTGAAATTTGGCGCATCTACACAGTGCCATATTTTGAAATAAAGCACTATTTCAAGACATCCCTTATTCCTTGTGAAACAGGGATGCTGAAATAGCACGTCTGTTATTTCGACAATTATTTTGAAATAGTTCCTTGGATGCAAGGTAGCTATTTCTCAATACCTCTGGTATCCCAAAATAGCCTTGCAGTCTAGACATACCCTGTATGAGGAGTAAGGGAAGTCAGGGGAAGAGGGCTCTATTTTGAAATAATTGTTGTGTAGACAGCGCCAAAAGTCGAAATAAGCTATTTCGATTTAAGCTACGCAATTAGCCCTGTTGTGTAGACATTCCTCAAATTATATTTTCTGCTTTTTGATTGGAAATAGTAATTAGCACACAATAAATAATGGATACCTGATGTGAATGTGGATTCCGGTATAAAGAAAAGTCATGCATATGAAGAAAACTGCTATTTACCCAGGCCCTGAATAGAAGGGCATGAAAATCACCAAACAGAATAGCCATTTTAAATTGAACAAATGTTGATGAATGCTTCTTTTGCTATAGCTGGCCAGTTGTGCTAAAGGCTATACATTCAACTTATGTGGATATGGGTGCACCTTTGGACAATGGGTTTGAAATGTAAATGTAGGGTTCCTCTTTTAACTGCGAAAGGAACTCTCCAAATTGAGGAGTGCAGTGCATAGATGTTCTACCTTAAAAAGTGCACATGAACTGTTAAATAAATCAATTTATAGACTACCCTTGTGCAGGCTCTGCATGCTCATGCTATCACCTCTGATACCTCAAATGATACTTCTTTTGAATAATCTGTTAATTAAAAAAAAAGACATATCTATACGAACACTGATCAATTCCTGTCTTTGGCTGCAAAACTCTGAATTATATGGTTGCCACATTCTTCCTTACAAACTGCCTCACCAGCCTGGACCCATCACTGGAAGACCACTGCTCTTCTCCCATGGCCCAGCTGTGTCTCCCACCCTAAATGAAGGGAAAGGGATGATCCCTGGAACCATTGTGTTATCCCCAACAAGGAAAAATGAGGGAATATCATCTACATTGGGCTGCTAGTCCCTCTCTCCTGTGCCTATTGGGGGAAAAAATATTCCCAATTCCACGAAGAAAACCCCAGCTAGGTTCAGCCTTGAGAAAAAAACATCAGGGGAGAGAATATAGCCACTGCCAGAGACACCAGAGGATAGGAGTGGCCAGCTGACATTCAGTTTGGGTTGATACTCGTATGCAGGAATCCAAATACCTCCTACCTATCTCTGTCTATTCAGTCTTACTTACCTTTTTAAAAATATCTGCACATGACTGGAGACAGGTGTGATAGCTGGGATCTCATAAGCATAAAATCCCCAAATATTTATTCTTGATCATGTTGTTTGGGTGGGTCAGGCAATAGCAGTTTGGGGTGCTTTGGCATGGTCATTTTTCTCATTGGAAGAAAAGTTAGGGATATGGGAATTCAGGATATTTCCTAGTCTTATTTATTTTGCAATATACACAGATTCCCTGTTTCGTTTATCTACACTTGTAGCTAGAGTTCTTGTTTACAAAGAGAAAAGTGTACTGATATGATTAAATGCCTCTTGTTTTTAGCATTGTGTCTCTTCCTTTGTTCTGCTCGACACTAGGAATTCTGGTTTTCAGAATTACACATCTCTGATTGTTCTTAATATCAATCACCAAACTATTTCAGGTAACTGTTAACACTTCATTTGTCTAGCTGCTCAGCAATACAAAGGAACTCCTCAGACAGGGTTAGCTGTAACTAGTACCCGCTGGAGATGGTTTCTCTATGAGGGTATGTCTACACTACCCTCCTATTTCGAACTAGGAGGGAAATGTAGGCATACCGCACTTGCAAATGAAGCCCGGGATTTGAATTTCCCGGGCTTCTTTTGCATAAGCGGGGCGCCGCCATTTTTAAATCCCCGCTGCTTCGAACCCCGTGCAGCGCGGCTACACGGGGCTCGAACTAGGTAGTTCGGACTAGGGTGCCTATTCCGAACTACCGGTACACCTCATTTCACGAGGAATAACGGTAGTTCGGAATAGGCACCCTAGTCCGAACTACCTAGTTCGAGCCCCGTGTAGCCGCGCTGCACGGGGTTCGAAGCAGCGGGGATTTAAAAATGGCGGCGCCCCGCTTATGCAAATGAAGCCCGGGATTTGAATTTCCCGGGCTTCATTTGCAAGTGCAGTATGCCTACATTACCCCGCTAGTTCGAACTAGCGGGGTAGTGTAGACATACCCCGAGTTTCCTTTCAGACAAAGGCGAGTTCTTAATACCAGCCCCTTAACAACTGTCTAAGGATGAATTATTAGTCTATATATGCTCCTTTGGTCAATTTTACCTACTTTTAACTTTTTCTGTGAAGCATTTGTTATCATGTTCTTCTATCAGTAATTAATAATGTGCACTCATTGCCACCTTCTCCATTATTCTCAAACCAATTACACCCTAAAGCTATGTCTACATTACCAAGTTTAGTTCACAAAACTTATGTCGACACCCAAAGATTAACAAAACAAAAATCGCCTGAAGGTGTTCACACTTGCTCCGTCAGTCAACAGATCATGTCCACACTAAGGGCATCATCATGAGTGTATCCACCATACAGTGTGAACAGTGCACTGTGGATTCATATCCCACAGTGCAGTGAAGTGGGAAAGCAGAACTGATCCCTGCACATCTTGAGATTCCCTCTGAGTTCTCCCTCAGCCTCTTCAGTTTCTAGGAGCAGCATCATGAGTAGCTCTGTGAGGTCTCCATTCTGAGAAATGTCAAAGCAGCACAGGGTCTGTGCCCCTCCTCCTGCAGCAGTGGTCTGCCTGCCGCTGTGTTCCTAGAGCAGGGAAAAACAGGAAAAGTCCAATGATTTGCTCTTTGTTCCTTAAATGGAGCAGCACACTTAACTGTCAGATACTTCCTGGAGGTTTGAAAGGGGAGGAACACATGCCTGCAGGGCAGTAAAGAATCAAAGCTGAGCATGGGGACTGGGGCAGGCATTGTGGGATATTTGCAGAAGCCAGTTTTGTCAACAAAACCAAGAGCAGAGCTGACATTGGCTCTTTGTCTACAATAAAGGGAGTGGGACAGAAAAAAGTCTCTCATAGGGATGGAAGTTTTTTGTCACCCAAATTGGGCATTATTACTGACAAATTCTCATTGCAGTGTGTGCATTCTTATTGTTTTGTCACTAAAAGGCAGTTTTTGGTGACAAAACTTGGGAGTGTAGACAAAGCCTAATTTACAGGTGTTTATCTCCCACTGAAGTTCATTTAGATTGGGGGCTTGGTTTAATTATTTGTCTGTGAAGAAGCCTTCATCATTGTATAATAGATTGGAAAAGTGTTGTATGTTATTACCCTAAAAATTGCTGGATTTGCATTATTTCCTTCTGGTATCTCTGCACACTTATAGTTCAAAAGATGCCCTTAAGATGTATACAGTGTAAAATGAGAGAATAAAGTTCAGCCTTCAAAAATAGACTACTACCACAAAAATCTCTTTATGTAAATATTGTCAATTTTAGTATTGACTTGCTGAGTAGAGACAAACTGTGTGTGGTTCAGGACAACATGATGTACCAAGTTGCTGTCCTGTGATATAGAAGGGTAATACAAAAACTTACACATGTAAAGTAATGCTTTGTTTTCATTGTCCACGATAATGATAGAAGTATATAAAGAAGGTGAAAAATAACACACGAATGCTTGGTATTGAACAAAACTTGGTTTTAACTAACGTATTAGCAAAATTGTTCCAGAACACTAGATCCTTCCAAAAATAATAACCCTGTAATGTTGACAAAGTTGTTGTCAGCATGGGTTACCTGCTGCATACAGAAAGTGCTGGTCATGTAAGTTAGATCTGCCTCAGGGCAGTCTGACTTGCACACCTGACCTTTCAGAAATCTTTTTTTGTTCATTAATCAATGTTCTTTGCTTGAGCTTGCCAGTTCCACTCTTCCCCCCTCATTCACTGTCCTCCTTTTTAATTCCAGATCCCCCCCATGACCCTTTACTTCACTTTGAATGTTAGTAGCATCAGACTATCACATGAATCTGATTTTATTTTTAAGTAATGTCTCACACATTTATAAAATGTGATTATGGATCCTGATGGCTGTTTACAATGCTGGTTGAGGTAAATGTTTCAAATGCATGATGGGAGGGTAACTTGTGTGTAGGCCATGATTTTTTAGGAACTTGCAAGTATTTCAGTTTAGTCTTTTATTTAGTCTTTTATCAGTTTAGCCAATTAGCCCATCATAAGATGGGATTTTCAGGTCTTCTCTCCTGAGCGCTCTCGCTCTGTTTCTCTCTCTTCCTACTGCCTCCCCCTCTCTCTCTCAGCTCTCTTCCGCCTCCTGCCTCTCTCTCCGTCTCTTTCTTTCTCTTCTCCCTCTCCTGACTCTTAATCTCCCTTTCTCTTCTCCTCCTCCTCCTGCCTCTCTCTCCGTCTCTTTCTTTCTCTTCTCCCTCTCCTGACTCTTAATCTCCCTTTCTCTTCTCCTCCTCCTCCTGCCTCTCTCTCCGTCTCTTTCTTTCTCTTCTCCCTCTCCTGACTCTTAATCTCCCTTTCTCTTCTCCTCCTCCTCCTGCCTCTCTCTCCGTCTCTTTCTTTCTCTTCTCCCTCTCCTGACTCTTAATCTCCCTTTCTCTTCTCCTCCTCCTCCTGCCTCTCTCTCCGTCTCTTTCTTTCTCTTCTCCCTCTCCTGACTCTTAATCTCCCTTTCTCTTCTCCTCCTCCTCCTGCCTCTCTCTCCGTCTCTTTCTTTCTCTTCTCCCTCTCCTGACTCTTAATCTCCCTTTCTCTTCTCCTCCTCCTCCTGCCTCTCTCTCCCCTCCGTCTCTTCCCGCCTCCCCCCTTCCCCTTTCCATCCCGCCGTGGTGCTCAGCTGAGTGCTGCCTGCTCAGCCGGGCTGCCGTGAGGGAGGGGGGTGGGGCGGTGACATGCACGGCCAGGGGGCAGGGCCGTGTACATCACCGCCCCACTCCCCTCTTCCCCTCCCACCGCAGGGGAGCCCAAACAGCCCCTTGCGCTGCTGGCTCCCCTGGTGGCCCGGCTGAGGGGCGCAGCACTCAGCACCACAGTGGGAGGGGAAGGGAGAGGCGGTGATGTACACGGCCACACCTCTTGGATGTATACGTCAGTTCCCCACCCCCTTCACCTCCTGCCGGGGCACAGCTGAGCGGCGCAGCACGAGCGCCGCTCAGCTGGGACCCGGCGGTACGGGAAGGGGGGAGGGGCACTGATGTACATGGCCAGGGGGCATGGCCGTGTATGTCAGCGTTACAGACTCAAAGACACTGGGCTACTATATATATGATATTGGGATTGAACAAATTGATTGGGATGAAATAAGAGGTTTTCTGAACTTTTACTTGAATTATAAAGTGAATTTCACTTAGTCTCAGGTTAAAAGAAAAAGTTCAGTTATTTAACATTTTTTAAAATCTTGGTGTGCCTCTGCACACTTTCTGAATTCTGCTAGGACTATGAGGCTATGTCCCCGAGTGGCATTATTTCAGAATAACTGACATAATTCCGAAATAACAAAGAGCATGTCTACATGCAACCCATTATTTTGAAATAATAGAGAACTCAAGGACTTCTTACTCCAACTCCTGGTAACCCTCATTTTATGAGGAATAAGGGAAGTCAAAGAAAGGATGTTCTTCAAAAGCCAAAAGCCAAGTTAAGCTATTTCGATTTAAGCTATGCAGTTGACATAGCTCAAACTGCGTAGCTTAACTGGACTGTGTTAAATGCAGGTATTAATGAATGTCAATTGACAGCCTTAATAATATTTTTCTTAAAATTGCTGTTTAAATCTGTATTTAATAGCTATTTATTTCAGTTTGTTTGCTAACCTTATAGTACAGGTCACATCCTGCTCCCTCTGATTTCAAGGTCAAAGTCTCTTTGACTCAATGGAACAAAAATTGGCCCATCTTTGAAATATTAACTTTTTTGAAAAATTAAAAACTCACTTTTCTCCTGCAATGTCTAGTAGTGGAGTAATACTCCCTCTATTTCCCCCCATGAATAAAAGGCTTGATTCTTTTTTAACAATTTCTGCTAGACGTTAATTGCAGGGGGAAAGGATAGCATGCGGACATCTGGTTACCTAATAGTAAACACAGATTACATAGTGTAAGGCAGTGGTGGGGAACCTATGGCGCAGTTTGGATGAAGCCCTCTCTCCCCACACCCCCCAGATTGCCTGGATGCAGCTCCCAAAGCTTGGAGCTCCTCCCAAAATCGGGGAGCCATTGCTGGCGATCCAAGCCTGCAGCTCCCTTTCCCCCCAGTTGCAACCCCTCTCCACTCCTGCACCCTAGCCCCTCCCAATTTTCTGAGGAAACATGGCACGGAGTTTGGGATCAGCTGGGGAGTCCCCAGCTTACCCTGGGCTCTACTGCCCCTTTGAAACATGTGGAGGCGGCGTTTCTAAGGGGCAGCTGCCACACAGCTGATCCCCAGCTCAGTTGTGAGGTGGCTGGCCCTCTGAAACGCAGCCTCTGCATGTTTCAAGGGGGCAGTGGAGCCTGGGGTCAGCTGGGGAGGTCCCCAGTTGATCCCAGGGTCAAGGTTGTCCTGCACCTTTGAAGTGCCCCAGCAGCACTTCAGAGGGGCAACACAGCATTAAAGCCTGTGTTTAATGCGTTAAAAAAATTAACGTGTTAATTCTGGACTGTATGTAGACATGGCTTAAATGTTGTTATTTTCAGCCAACATTTTTCACTGTTGTGGATTTTATTTTTTTTTATGAAAAGTCAACATTTTCAGTGAGGAGCAAACACTTTCCATATTTTCTTTTGTTTAATCAGAAACCTACTTTTCTATTGAAAAACATGATTAGATGAAAATTTTTCAAGCAATCCTAATAATAATTAGAGTAAATATAGCAGAGTTCTGCCAAGTAGCCTCTTCAATAATAACCATTCATTAATTACAATGGATTGAAGTCTCTGAGGCTGTAAATCCAGTACCTTTCACAAGCACTGATTTTATACATGATGGAGAAAGGGAAAGCCATTGTATTGGTATTTGTCCACCAAAATTACCTTTAACCGTGTCTCAGTTGAGCAGGAGACTGTGGTAGAATTTTTTTCCAATATTCCAGACTTTGTACTTTAGTGAAAATGTATTAACTCTACAAGACAGTAGTGAAGGTGTACTTCTGTCTCCAACTTCCTGTGTACCTGGAACATTTGATCACCCCAAATCAGTTTGTATGTGTATAAAGCTTGCAGTTGCTGACAGAACAATTCACACTTCTCTAGAGTTTAAAGAGTATATCAAGCAGTTAATATTTATGTATCAATGTAGAAATGTAGCAATACTGCAACAGTAGCTGGCTACCATTTTGTTTTACTTGAGGGAAATCCAATATGAATAAAACAGCAACTTTTCAAACATGACATTTAATCCATGCATGTAAATCAAAGAGGGAACTCTATTATTCATTATTAAAAGGGCACCATATTTTTACTACCCTGAAAATGAAACACAAATGCTGTGAAAAATTTAGTGCCTTTTCTTGAAGTTTCAGGGCACTTATCATGCAGTCATCTAGCTCAGGCTAGCTCTCATTTTAAAAAATAGCCACAAAATTAATAATTTTGAAGTTGTTTGCTGGGGAAAAAAGTGTTAAATTTCATTGAAAGAGGAAAATTATTATTTTGTATTTAAAGCAGCATGGTAAAATATTTTGGTAATGTTCATATTTAGGTATACATGAAGAATGTAGTTCATAGCCTTTTCATTATTATTCATGCCCAAAATTTTCTTCCCTGAAGTGCCCTGTGAAAACTATATATATCAGAAACTGATTAACATGACCTCAGGTATTAGTTCTTAAAATATGATGAACCTAACACTTTCCAAGACACTATTTCTCATATGTCAGCATCTATCTAAGAATTGAGATGCTTTTAATAACTACAAAACAGAAAACTAGAGCACAAAACAGAAAACTGGAGCACAAACTTTTATTATTATTTATTATTATTTTATTTATTTATGTATTTTATTATTATTATTATTTTATTATATTACTTTAAACTCTGGAGCAGATTAGAAAATTTAGCTGTAGGATGCTTTAGATGATGAAATACTAGGGTTTGACTAGTTGATAATAATGTGCTGCAGTAGCAGAGGATATATTAAAAATATATTTTTTTATATTTCAAAATCTTATTTTCAAATCCTTTGAAATAAATAGCCAGTACCAGTGATTTCAGGAGAGCTACATTTTCTCCTCATAACATCTATGGACTCTGGGTAGCTCCCAGTCATTTTGGAGGTGAAATTCACCAACGGGGTGCTAAAATTTTACTCCATCGTGGGCCCCACAGAACATTCTGTTTGGCCCAGTCTCTATATAAAATGACTTTATACTGTTCTTATTCTTATTAGGAATTTATGCCATTAAAAAACACTTTTTGGGGAGGAGGGTGGCGAGTCCCTTTTTTGTCTGGTGAGTAGGGTTTCCATAATTTGTCAAGCCCTCTTTATTGACATAGATACTGTCACTGTCATGACTCTCCTACATCATGGAGGGGTCATTGACTGCTCACTGATGGAGATTTTCTGACATAGTGCAGCCATGACTATATCCCATATATGTTGTCAGCCGGACAATCAGCGGGTGAGGCCTTCTGAACAATTGTTAGGTCCAATCTGTTGAGGTATGTCATAAAACTGGACAAACTAGAGAAACGGTCTGAGGTAAATAGGATGAAGTTTAATAAGGACAAATTCAAAGTGTTCCACTTAGGAAGGAACATTCTGTTTCACACATACAGAATGGGAAGTGACTGTCTAGAAAGGTGTATTGCAAAAAGAGAT